GGCCCGGCGGGGAGCGGCTGCCACGTATCACCGGGGAGCTGGGCGGCTCTCCCGCCCCTCTGCCCCGCTCCAAGTTCGCCTCAGCCGAGCCGTGCCCGCCCGGGCTCCCTCTGCTCACGGGAGGCGCCGCCCGCCCGCTGCCCCCTCCCGCTACAAGGAGCGTCCCGGGGCGCTGCCGCCTCAGGCGGGAAGGGGCGCGGGGGGAGCCAGCGGAGGGTTTGCTCTGAGGGAATTTTATCGCCCCCCCCGTTTTGTGCTTTTTAAACTTTATTTATTATTTTTATTTTTTTTTTTTTTTAAAAAAAAACCCCTCAGTTTGTGCGTCTGGCACAGTTGTGAGGGCAGAGCTCCCCCGGGCGGGACCGCCTCCCTGAGGGGAGCGGGGGCCGCTCCTGTCACCCCCCTCACGGCTCTCCGGGCTCGGCGGGACCGTGGTTTAATTCCTTTTTTCGGCATAATAAAGCCGGGCCCCTGAACGATGTCATTCAGCTGAACCGAGTCTCCTGCCCCAACCAGGTGATGCCTCTTCACACCTCATAATTGAAAGTCTCTTGATCGTATGAAATTCCAGCTGAGACTGTCCAGGTGGCTTGTTAGGACACATAAAGGCATACCAAAACTATGAACCCATCATTAGTATACACTTTTCTGTGTTTTGTACGTTTCGCTTTCCATCTTTGTCCTCCTTTTGGCTCTGATTTTTTTCCTGATTTTTCAGTGGTTTCATCAACAAGGCTTCGACACCATGGGGTGGAGGTCTCACATTTTTAAGGTGTCCCTGAGTGTTAAAAGTGGGGCTGGAAGGGGAACAATTTTATATCGTTTGCTTTAATTCTTTAAAACTTCTCCACTGGTGTTCTGAAGTTTGATTTGAAAACTTTGTGGGTTCACACAGCAGGGAAGATTGTACACTATTAGCGTTTGTTAATCCCCAGACTCTGAAATAGAGTGAGCTCTCAAGTGAAAATCACGGGAATCATCATCCCCAATTCTGAGCTGGGGGGAATCTGAGCTTCCGTCCTTTACACTTGACAATTGAACCACTGGAGCCGCATGCTGGGACAAACAGAGCGTTTTCCTGCCTGAATTATTCCACCTTACTTACAAACTTCATACAGGCAAAGTGTGTGAGGTCAGAGCTGCGCAAACACCTAGAAAAAGTGTTGCAAGTGGGGGGTGTACTTCGTGTGGACTTCAGAAGGTAAAGGCAGAGGCAGTTGTAGGATCTCTTCGTATTAGGAGCTTCTGATGATACTGTTCTCTGTTGGGAGAAAGGTGGGTGTGTAAATGACACAGGTGGTACATCGGACACAGCCAGACTCCGTGTTACTCTTTTCCATGGAAAGAAAATTCACACCTGAAGCGCTCTTAACTTGTTCCCCTGTCTGGTAATGAGGCAGAAGTACCACGCTTCGTAGCTGTGATAAAGAGTAGCTTGTAGCTGTTAAATTAGAGTTTTGGGATTAGGAGGAGGTGTTGAATGTGACACTTTATTGTGAAGTAAGATCTAAGTTGCTGAGTAGGAAATACTGCACTGTTTTCTCTCTGTTGCTGTCACACAATTGCAGTTGTCTGAACTGAAAGGAAAATAAAAAAGCTGGATGATCTTACGATCAGAAATTGCAATACCAGCTCTCCAAGTGCTGTGGAGGCCTCTAAAGATTCTGCTGTTAGCAAAGTTTTGGTAATACATTCTGAGCTGCTGCTGCCTGCCATCTGCTTGTGCACCTTCTGGCATGCGAGGCTTTCAGGATTTTGGTTGTGAACATAAAAGGTGGAAACTTTTCGTTTTGTTACCTTAACAAAGCTGTGATTCCCGTGTACCTTCAGTTTTCCATGAGCTGGCCTCAGGCTGCAGAGCGCCTGCATCACGAGGCTCTCAGTGTAATCATCAGAGAGCCATTGCATTTCTCAGTGTTTTGCTGCAACTGGAAGATTAGTCACTGCTGCTTTTTTAGAAGCAACTGTTGAAAATAGCTTTTTTCAGCATTGGAAAAATGTGCTTGTATATACTGAATAATTTCTCTGCCTTCAGACTGTGTTGGCTGCTTTGCTTTTATTAATCAGTGGGGAAGTTGGAGTCTTGTATGAGTAGTTTTTGATTAATGTATGTTGGCATATAACATCATGTTTATTAACCAGAAATAAAGTGTAAATGTGTGTGTGTGTGCATCAGCTGAAGAGAATGGTCTGAAAAGCTAATCAAATAATTGCACTTATCCCCGTGGACCAAGACATCAGGTTTTGGTTCCCCCCCACAAATTTGAGAAGCCGCAAAAAGTGCTCAGAAATCTGCATCACCTGCAGCTTACGTTATGTTTACTCTGTTCAGAGGTGTTCAGAAGGTCTTGAATACTTGAATATTGCATTAGAGATTTCCTGGTTTGGAGGATTGAGATGGGAATGGTGTGAGGTGTTTCTTGTTCTGAGCTGTTCCTGAGGGCTTCAGCGATGGGTAGAAAATTAACACTGTAGGTGCTGTACACATACAGCTGTATGTACCTGTTTCCACCTTCTTTGCTGATGAGGAAAGAGAAGGAGGAAGTTTCAGCCTGAGCATTAAATCCCAGGATTTGAAAAACTGTCAGGGGAGGAACTCTGACATTATTTGTCAGCAAAACGATGAAGGGTGGTGTGGAAATCAGTGAGAAGTAAGGATATGAAGCCCCAGAGTGTCACTTTTTACTGTCACTCTCCCTTTCTGGCTCTGTTGTTGCTCTGGACTCCAGTTGATGACTTCTGCTGTTCTTGTGTTTCTTCCTTGCTGTTCCTTGTAGTGAAATATTCTTTGTGCACATTTAAAAATTTGTCCCTCAGTTCTGTTGCCTCAATCTGCAATTCCAGTTTTCTTTTCCTTTGCTTATTACCACTTCAGGCTTAATTTTAAATACAAGTTGTTTGTTTTTTTTTAAAAAAAAGTTCATTTCCTCTTTCCAGGAGGAACAGTCCTGGATGTTTTCCATTCCACTTTTTACTTGTAGGCAAACTGCAAAAACTAAGCAAGAAGGAAAGCATGTAGCCAGCCTATTGCTGGGAATATGGAATGTGCCTGGAGGAAGAGATATGTGTACAAGATCAATACATTTTTTAACCAAAATACTGTTGCTTTTAAAAGAAATACTGAAGTCACTTTTCAATATACACTTTAAATCTCTAATGCTTGAAAATATAAATGCTTTTGGACCTGAATGCTGCCTGAAGGAACACAGCATCCTACATTCCAGTTTTTAGGGCCTGTCCCTGCAAACAGGGACAAGGCAGTGTGTGTGGGGGGAAGTGGGGCCTGTGGATGAAGAAAGTCCCATTTAATTATTTTGCCCCGCTGCTCCTGTGACGTCTGTGCAGGAAAAAACCCCAGATGCCAAATTCTTTTGGAAGAACATATCAATGGATGCTTTCACAGCGGGTGTTTTGACTAGCAGGTGGTAGAACATTTTAATTTTGTTTATGAAGGCTCAAATTAATTCATAAGCACGTGCATGCTCCCTTATATTTTTAAACAAATCTCTCTGTATGATCAAGCCCTCAGTTTTTCAGTCTTTTGATTTGTGGCACTTCAAAAAGTTGCGCTGCAAGTAATCTCACAAATGAATCTAATATAAACTTGGTGCTTGCCAAGTTCTTTGTTTTAGTTGGATGCCTGTTGCAAGGTGCTTCCTGAAAATTTTATGAGAAGTGTAAGAAATTTGACTTGTAAATTTCAGCCTTATTTAAGATAAAGAAAAATCCTGCTTCCCAGAGGAGAAATAAGCACGCAAAGGGAAGGCATGGTTTTATGAGATTCTTCCAAGTATGAGAAGAATGGGAATGAGCTTGAAGTTGAACCCTTGAAGGATGTGCACCTTCTTGCCATATAGCAAGACAATAAAGCAAAACTCTCATTTTCTGTTTGAAGCTAAATGTTACTCCTCTGCTGGGGTTTGGTGATTCACTTACATTTTTCTTCTTCCCCCCTGCCACTGATTCTTTTGCTTTTATAATTATTCCTTAGGGTGAAAAGTTTGGCCCCTTTGCAGGGGAGAAGCGAATGCCGCAGGAACTGGATGAGGACACAGACTGCAGGCTCATGTGGGAAGTGAGTAAAGTGACATCATCACACCTCGCTAAAAGTGTTCTCAGAATTAAGATTTACTGTAACAAACCCTTTCTATTTTGTTTCATAAAGATCTTGTAGTGAGATTTAGTAATTTTAAATTATGCTGCCTGGGTGGTATTGATGTCTTTAAAACTAAAGAAAAGGCAAATGATGGTTTCTAATCAATGAAATGTAAAAAAACATCAAGTCAAGCCAAATACAAATATAATAACACTGTGGGAAATCATTAAAACATATGAAAATAATTAGAAAAATTAAAATAATTTGAATTGGGAAGCAGTTTGTAAGTTACAGAGATACTGATTTATGCCAAATGAACAGGTACCAGCTTATGGCTTCCTCCTGCTGTCATATGAAACATTTCCTGGTGTGGCACTTGTGCTGGGATTTGGCAGACTACATTAGTGAACTTTTAAAATCTTAGCAGTTTTTAATGCAATGAGTCGGTGTGAGGTCTTCAGCAAAATAGAAGCCCGGTGCTGTGGGCAGCTTTTTGTTTTTTATATGCATTAGGCAGGAACAGCAGTTTATACACTAGTTTTTGTAATTAGGTACATAACCTATCCTAGCTCCTGTGTGTGCCTGAAGTGAAACCTGAGTTTACCAGCTGAGGAGATAACACTGACTGAAAAATACTGGCGATAGCAACATTTCCAACTTGTTAAAAATGCCTTCTTTCTGCTGCCTCTGTTCTGTCTTTGTAATCTTTATTTACTGCTGTAGCTCTTCGAGCAGAATTTCTTTTTTCTTCTTTTCTTTTTTTATCTCAGCAAAGCAGTTTCTATTGAATTCACATTTAGTCCTCTTTTAGACTGAGGACTAATTTCTTACTTTTTTACCTTTCTGTGTTTAGAGGTGGAAGGAGGACTGTTACTGCACAGTACAAAAAAAGCTTATATCTGACATCTGGCTTAAAGTGCTATCAGTGCATTTATCACAAAATACATGTTTGTTTGAAAAATCTCTGGCATTAACCTCACTGAGCAGCTTATGAAGAGAGCAGAGTAGTGATGCAGCCTTAGCAGAGCTGCAGATGGATTCCACACACTAGAATGATGACTGAGAGAATGTTAAAAGCCGTCTCTTTTTACCCAAGCTCAGTATTAAGTATCGGGAGTGGTGAAATATTCCTAGGTGAGTGCTAACTCCAGCCTGTGTAGCCCTGTCTTCTGCATTTCCCTTGTCTATTTCAATCTAGAGCTGTGCCCCAGATGCCCTTTCCTAGAGAAGAGGTGTGGACAGTTTGATCCCCTTTCCCTTTTGGGTTATGTACTCAGAGCAACCAATTTCATCCTCTTTGTTCCCAGCTGAAGACAGAGCAATACAATGTGCTCTTGTTACAGATGTTTGCAGAGTACAGTACATGTTCATTGTGCCCTGGCTCACTTGACTCTTCCTGATGTTTCTGCAGGTTGTTTGAAATCAGTAAAATGCTTCTGCTAGAGCAAGATTTTCAGAAGAGGCAGTGGGTAGATTACAGCAATGAGAAGGCCTTTAGGTTTGTTGGAAAGCTTTATGATTTTCCAGGTTCCTTACTGCTCACAGGTAACCTAGTTTTGAAAGCCTTGAAAAGATTCCTGCATACCAAATTTTATGACTTCCTGAAAATTTTAACCCAAGTTGTTCATGTTTACTGAAGTTGATCTGAACGTGAGCTTTTATAATATAGCTTAAATCATGCTGGGAGTAGTCTGAAGTTGAAAATTGAGACCAGGAATGCAGAAAGTTAGGACTTGAACAGCCCAAGTAGATGGTTATTCCAGAGCCTGTGGGAGGCATGCACAGAAACTGGCCAAGTCTCTATGTAGCCAGCTGTACCAAAGATATATAAAATAATTAATTTGAGGGCTAATGGAGGGAGGCACACTAAAGCCTGACTTCACAGTCTGATGGCAGTCAAAAAAATAAAAAGTTTCCAGAGAGAACACCTTCAGAAAGAAGGCTCAAGCAGTTGAGGCTTTCTGTAAGTCAAGGAAAAAAAACGGGCAACTTGTTTTCTTTCCTTGACACGTGATGCCTGGGATCCAGGCTTCAATTTTATGGAATATTTTTCTGTGAGGAAGTTTGCCACATGCATTTCTGGTTGTGCAGAGTGGTGCTCTGTGATGTGGTCTGTTTTGATCAAGCCATTCTCTTTTCTCCCAGACCGGCATTGTGAGTTGGCATCTTTAAGGCATCACGTTGAGACAGAATCACACGCGTTACGTTTTCTTTTGGTCTCAGGGAAAACGTGGCACCCAAAAAATTTATTGAGCCCAATGATTTTGTTCAGTTAAATTCTGAACATGTTAGAGTTTCTCTTTAAATTAAATGTTAAAGCGGGATGCCATTACTCTGCCTGTAACATGCATAGTTGCGAAGACATCAAAAGGTTTATACTTGTTCATTCAACAGATTCTGGGGAAGTGGAAGATTCCAGCAGGTGGGAAGCATCCATGATCTTGCTGTTATCTTTGTGAAGAGCTACAGGCTGAAATGTTTTATTTATGAGTGGTATGAAAGGAAAAAAAAATAAAAATCCCCAACAAAGCTGTGGTAACCATTTAGTTAAGAGTGATAATAAAAAGCCAAGAAATGTCCAAGTGGCTGTGTGCTTTCTCTTTCTTTCTGTTAAAAAGAGAAATCTTTTTAACAGATTTAAAAGTTTAATCTTGAAACATCTTCAGTTGTCCCCCAGCGCTCTGAGCGTACTGATGAAGGACACAGCTCATTGCTGGTGATGAATTGACAGTTTTGATCTTACTTTTAGCAATCCGATAACACCTTGATCAAATACTTCTTTGTGTGTGTTAGTAAACTTGGCATAGCAGCTTTGAGCCGTGTGTATTTGCTGGAGAAGCAAGTGCTTCAAGGCAAGCAGGAAATCATCTTCAGGTATTAAAAGTTCACAGACATTTTTGCTCTGGAGGCTCAGATGTGCCTTTGTGAGGGGAAGATATCAGTTCATGTACGTATGTCCAGTTCCTTTTCTTCATTATCCTTAACCAAGAAAGGGGAATTCATTTCACTCCTGTTGGATTGTGGCAGGCATCTACTTCTGGTGATGACTTTGGCAAATGTTGAAACAGGGAGGGCTGGAAAGATTTTGTCCTTCTTCAAACACTCTGACATACCATGAAGAAATGTTGGTCAGGGTTGGATGGAACATAATACGCCATGTAATGCTGAATGTTACATATTTCAGGTTGGGTTTCTGTCTATCTGCCAGGATCATGTTTTCTTCATTGTTACATTAAAACCAAAGAGATTAGAAATCAGTCTTTCAATGGAAGCCAATGTTTGTGTTTATTTATATAAGAAAATGAAATGAACTTAGATTTCTGCTGCTTAACTCTCATCACTTTTGCTGTGACAGTTGTTTTCAGTTAAATAAGCCTGCCTGAAAACTAGTGAAGGCAACAGAGAATCTGCTCTTGGCTGCAGCCAGCTTCAGATCAGAGCTGTGGTGTTTAGGATCAAGGTATAAGAAGTCAAGCGCATGAAGCTTGGTGTGTTTTGGTGGCTTTCTTCTTATTTTTTATTTTTCTTCTTTCTTTGATATCTTGCCCATAAAATGTTCTTCTGGCATAGGAAGGCTTTTACACACAAGAGATTAAGTCAAATTATGTCCATAGATTCATGGTAAAATAAATCTTAATTAGATGAATTCTGTGTTTGCTGTCAAGGTGAATATAATATTATTGATCTAGTTCTGAACAATATGGTCATTATTTTTTTCTGTATGAAGTCTACCTTCCCAGTCATTGTTCCTCAAATACTGTTTACATAGAAAACCATTTGCATTTAAATGTTTTTGGGTGAATCTTTGTTTATTTTTCAATGCTTTTGTTTTTCTCTTTTCTTAAATGACCTGGGCTTTTACACAAATCAGAAATTGGTGTGCTATCTCATCTGCAAGTCTTATGTCCTAGAATTTCAATTTTGGTAAATAATTTTCCAATGGGATAGGCAGATAAATAACCAGGGTGGTTATTAATGTTGTCATAATCAACTCTATTAAAATTTGTTTTAGTCATATTTTTCCATGTTAAATGTATGACTTTGCATTAATTTTAGTGACTTTTGGAGCAGTCCCATTAATGATCTTTTGGTTTTGGTGATGAGAAGTAAAGTAGCCAAGAGTGTTAATTTCCCATCCTCAGTTACAGGATATATTTAAGATGTTGGAAAACATGTCTTGCTGGGCTGAGACGTTCCTAGTCCAGTCTGAACTTACTGTAGATCACACACGGTTTGCTTAGGGAGATTTGGGTATCATTTCAGAGAAAGGGAAGTTCAACCCCGCTCCTGAAAGCTCCACAGAATATTTGCAGGAGTCTAGGAGTGAGTTTCCTGTACCCTTCTGTCCCTGGCAGGGTCAGGTAATGTCATGCACCAGAAGGAGCTTCATTAGCATGGAAAACTTGCTGTATGTTTTGGCTGAAGGAAAATGGCACATGCTGTCTCTGTCCCTGACTTCTTACTGAGTAAGCAAATCAGGAGTTGCTGCCTCAGGTTTCTTTTGCTGGAGTCATTTTAATGCTTTCTCCAGCAATGTTAAAATGTGAGTTTCTACTCTGCAGTGAGCTCTGTGATGGTCTGAACTCAGGATGCAGAAGTATTGCATCTAGCTGTTTTATGCTACAGCAATAAAGATCATATTTTCAGCTAATCAAAAAAGAAGCAATGCAGAAATCAGTACTTTTCTCTACATGATTTTTTGATGAACATAGATTTTTCCATTTAGAAATGTTCAGAAAATGGTTTCCAGAAAGCAGGCAGTGAGCTTACTGCCTTCACCAAAAGTAGCCATCTGCTTACTTGCAGTGAAGTTTTGGTCTTCTTTTGCCAGGTGTGCATGGTGTGGCATTTGCAATACACTTGTGAGGATTTAGAAGTAGCATAAGTGACAGATTTGGATGTATTTTGAAAATGTGGGGGTAATTTCATTGCAGCATAAAAGGCTGACAGATGGAGTGGTGCCTGTTGTTGGTGGGCACTGCCACAGCTTAGGTGTTATTTACACCTGTGTGGAGTTTGGTATGGGGGGCAGCTTACACATTGACCAGTTCTGCTCCTGAACTCTTGTTTCTGCACCCTCCTGGTGCTTGTTAATGTGGCATAATTCAAATTGTCCTGACTGGCTTTGAGGTGGAACCTCACCCTGTGTGGTGACAGGGAGCGTAGCATGCTTCATCTTATATTAAAAGCATTGAATTTGTTCAGTGACACCTTTTGTGCTGATTGTCAAGAAGATAATTCTTGGGTTTCAGATACGTAACAGGGATATGTGTATACATTTGAGGTGCTGGTTTTAAGTGCTAGGTTTGGGATCCACTGCCATCAGTTCATTTAGGAAACTCCCTATTCATGCAACCAGAAAAGGATTGGTTCATGGCACCAGTCTAGTCCACGCTGAGTACCGTGTTTTTGCACTTTTTCTTGACTTTTCATGCTCACATCTGTATATTCAACACAGCATTATTTCTTTATGAGGAGAAAAAGGCAGTAGAAAATACAGAATGTTTTTAAGGGATTTATCGTATTCCTTTATTGATAGTTTCCTTATGTGTTAAAGCTCTGCTTCGTGTTTGGCATCCCTTTATGGATTGGCAGAGACTGAAAGCATAACTGAGATGACTGTGTATCACTGAAGCAAATATAAATTACTCTTATATAATTTAATGATCAAGCAAGTAAAGAAAAATTGATGAAAAGTTAGATAGAGTAGTGTATAGTTTTTATAATAGGACCTGGATTGCTTCTTATTCCAACTCAAGATTTGATGTAAGCCTTTATAGGATGTATGTGGTGGGCTCCTGTAACTTGTGCTTGGGTAGCTAAAGCACAAAGCCTCTGTAGAACTGGGTGATTCTTACCGTGTCACAGAATGGTTTGGGTTGGAAAGCACCTTAAAGACCATCCAGCTCCAGCCCTCCTGCCAGGGACAGGGAGGCCACTCATTAGATCAGGTTGCTCAGGGCCCCATCCCATCTGGCCTTGAACATTCCCAGGGATGGGACATCCATGGCCTCTCTGAGAAACCATTAGTGTCAGATAATATTGTTTCCAGATGCATTTCAATGTGTAGGTTTGACACTTCTCACTGTGGTTAATCCATGTGTTGGAAAGTTGGAGCTTTTAAAGTTTGAATGTTGGCACCTTTTTGTGATGTGTCCTTTTTCCTTCAGAAGAGCAGTAATGAATTTTGAAGATCCTTACTTGTTTGCAGAACTACAGTAATTCTTTTTTTTTTTTTCTTTCTTAATCTGAGAACAACGTGCTGTCACCAGCTATTATTGTAATGGAATACGGTTTTTGTCTTTTTAATAATGCCCTAAACGTTTAGGTAATTGAAGCAGTCGTACTGAAGAAATACGATATTGCATTCTATTAGAAACAAATATAGCAAGAATGTGAGCTATTTATATACAAAGCCACAAAGGCAATCAAATTTTGGTCTTATATAGCCAAATTCCCTGGCTCTTAGGAAATACCTGCCCTGGATACTTTTTGTTGACAGATGGAAAATAAAATCCATTCATTATATAAATAAATCACATGGAATAATAGTGTGGCTCCGTGACCTTTTTGCATGGCTCTCTGTTGTCTGGATCAGTGGAGATTCAAGCAATCTATTATTTAAAATTAAACAAACAGGGGATTTTTTGGCAGTGACAGATATATTTGTATAGCAGTATGTGTTTTGAGGGGGAAGAATGACTTAGTTAATATTAAGTTTTTATTTCCATTATCTTCCTTTTTTTCAATGTAAGTTGGAATTATGTCAAAATTGTAGCAATCAGATGAATTTTATGGATCTGTAATGGTAGCTGAAAAGATCTAGATAAGGAGATGGGTGTATCTTGTGGGCACAATTCTTTTTTTAAAGTGGTTTTTTTCACTGAGTGGACAAAACCTGGACATACTTGGTTTTTTAATTTCAATTTTGCTTGGGTTTTTTTTGTTTGTTTTTTTTATTTTTAAAATGTTTCAGGTTCGTGGGAACAAAGGCGAGGTCCTTTATGTCCTGGATGCCAGCAACCCACGCCATTCGAACTGGCTGCGGTTTGTCCATGAGGCTCCATCCCAGGAACAGAAGAACCTGGCAGCCATACAGGTAGATTTGGTGAATTCCTACCATTCACTTTCTGTCCCTGATTTATTAATTTGATCTCCTCGTTGGTCTTCGTGTCTAGTAATAAAATTGCAAGGTCTGAGAAAAGTAGCGAACTGCTTTTCTTTTTCTGCCTTTCTTTTTAAAAGAGAACTCTTGTGCTTAAGATGATACCACAAATAAGAGTGGTAGGATGAAAGACCAGAGAAGTCCTTGGAATCTGATGCTATTTGAAAGGTTTAAGGACTAATTATTTAGAGCCCTATATGTGTTTCATACCAAACTTGGGTGTGGGCCTAGGTGTGTGTAAAGCAGAATCATGCATTTACATTATGGTTCAATAAAATGAACAATATCATATAATGTACATAACACATTATTATATTTTTTCATTTTTATAGCTGTCATTTGCAGCACTCTGTGGTAATGAGTTCTGCCACTTCAATTATGTTAAAATATGCTTCTGTTTTTCTTCTAGACACTCCTTAATTTCACTTTATTTCCTAACAGTGAATAGTTACTTTATTTTTCTATGCCATCTTTGATTTTATGAAATTCTATGCTTTCACTCTTATTTGACAGCTCTTCTTTCACTCTTATTTGACAGCTCTTCTCTCAAGCTGTAGAGTCTTAGTCTCTTTAATTGCTCAGTTTTGGAAGCATTCTGTGACTTTACAGGATATAACAGAGACAGGGATACCTTTCCAGTTCCAGCTGTTGTTCTTTGGGGGATTACTAAAAAAATTAGCTCTCTGTTTTTTGTTTGTTTTTTTTTTAACAGCTCAGCTTCACAGTAAATTAATTTCTTCCACTCCCACATAAGTAAGAATTATGTGACTCTGTAATTTTTCTTTCTTAAAATGTATACTTTACAAAATGTCATTTCAGGCTAACTTAAGGTATTTGCTGATATAATCCAAATTGGTAAACAATTAGGAAAAGGAGAATTATTTATCAGCATTTGTCAAAATTACTGTTCTGCTTTTTCATCATGAGATGATTTTTTTTCCACCAAGGATTAGTCTGACTAAAGAGTTATAGTTTATTTTGAAGCCAGACAAAAAAAATTTTGGTTTTCCTGTGCCAAAAACCCAAAATTTCATTTCTTATTAAATTTGTTGTCCTTCTTATGGTAGCAGATATGAAAGTCTCTCATACAGGAGTTGTGATTAGCACCTCATCAGTGCACAGTCATTGTTAGAAAATGCAAAGTAAGGCTCACAAGAGAGAGCAGTGTGAACAATTCATGTTCATTATTATCTTTCCAGTAAATGACCTGAACTTGTGAAATAGAAGTTTTAATGGAATATCCAGTGCATACCAGTGGTATGGAAAAGTATTATAAGGAAAATGATAGAAACAAATAAAAATCTGCTAAATTATTTCATAAGGTTTTTGAGGACCTTAAATCCTGTCCTAACACAGAATATTCAGATGGAAAAATATTCTGGCCTTCACTGGGAGCTGTTACTGAAAACTGCAGTGTGGAGAAATGTCAGAATTGCTGTGCTAGTTTAGTGTTGTGTTCTGTTTAGTCTCACATTTGTGTCTCAGAGGTTTTCTGCCTTGCCATGCAATATAACTCCATAGGAATAGATCAGGAGAGAGCTGAGGCTTCTGGATCTTGCGTATGTGTGCTGTGTTTTAGATGAGGTATAATCTGAATTCTGGGCTGTGTGTGAAATCATCTCCACCTATTTCCTGGATTGCAGTTTCTGCCCTCAGACATTTCCTGTATTGGTTTTACCTCTGCCAAAGTTGACATCCTGGAGCTTCAGGGAGAGTGGGAAAGGCAATATGCTTGTTTGGAGAGGTAGCCAGGGAGAAGTGGCAGAACAGGTAGGCTGAAGAGCTGTTTTGCTGCCAGGGAGTCAGATACAGAGGGAAGTCAGGTAACACTCTCTGGGCACAGAGGCAAGGTGGGTAAGGATTAGAAAGGCTGGGTTGGAGCCAGCTGCTCAGGCTCTGAAGGGTGGAAAAGCCCTACACTCCCTCAGGTAACACAAGACTGTGTTTTAAATTTCCAGGAGTGATGACAAGTGTTTTATGCTTTTGGATGAAAGTGTGACGGGGTGCCAGTGGTTCTGTGTTCCCTCTTGCAAAGCAGATAACGAAGGTGTGTAACTGTATGGAAAAGCCAAAAGTCTGCATGGAAGAGGTACCTGTAGTGGACCAAAAAGGAGATAGCAAGGGCTGTTGGAGCTGGAAAAGTGTGTTTGCTGAGCAGGTCTGTGTGGCTTATAGTGTAAAAGACGACAGTGAAGGCAGAGGTGAGAAGAACATAATTGAATGGTAACCCAGGACTAACATGAAGGGAGGTTGTGGTGCCACCATGATGAGCAAGCACTTGGAGTTTTCTCCCAAGGACCATTGTGGTCTGCTGCAGATGAGTGTTAGAAAAACAGCCAGCATGGTCTAAGCACACAGGCCAGTGGAATGGCTGCAGATGTGTTCTTAGAAACAGGAGGGTTATTAAAATTATTTAAAAGACTGTTTACTGTGTCTGCATGTAGATTAATGTGATCCATGCAGGTGCTGCTGGTGGAGTAAATTCTTTTGTGGTTTCTGGAGGAGCTTCCATTGCTTTTGCTCAAAATGCTGCCTTGAGGAGCTACTACAGCAAGTGGGTCTATCTTGATTAATTAGTGCTCTGAATACCTGGCTATTAGCATTTGTTTGGATGGAAAAGCCAAACAAATTAACCTTGGAGGAGAAATTAGTTTAGATTGGGCTGGCAACAAAGCTGTTTTCTTTCCAATGCAAATGTAACCCAGAGCACTCAAACATTGACAGCTCCTAGTACTTGAGGCTTCATTTTGGCCTGGGATACATGACTTTTCCTTTTTTTTCTTTCAATCTTCAAATTTTCAAAATCCTTAATTTTAGAACTATTTTCATTATTATTTTTGATAATCCAATCATAGACTGCTTCTCTTCATGAGGTTGTCTCACTTTTAGAATAAAGTTGTCCTAAACAGTGATGTATTAGAGATTTACCCCAGTGGTTTTATCCTGTCTGTGTGGAGACTGAGTGTAGAAAGACTTTATACTTTTCCTCATGTCAAGAGGATTTGTTTTGACTTTAGACTGTACTAAATTAAAGGTTTCTGCAACTTGACAGAGACATATGAAACCAAGCAAGCTGTAGATGTGTACAGAGGTTAGGTTGGTGTGCTGATAGATATCTGGACTGCAGAACAGATCTTGAGGAAAAAAAAAAATCATAACTTTTTGTTTTTCAATGCTGCTGTTGAGATAAGGACAGAGAAGCGGTGCATCCTTGAAAGTAGCAGCTGTATCAAGTCTACTGAATTAAGTAGGTTTCACTCCTGTGTGACAGTATCTTGTGTAAAATATAACAGACCTTCTGCAGCTCAAGGAATGCTACATCCCTGTTGACAGTTTAAATTAATCTTAGCGTATTACAAAAATTAAAAATCATTATCTTGTCCTTGCTCAGAGGAGCTTGTTACAAAATATATGGCTAGATAGATGCAGGGCAAAGAAGCCTCAGTTAACTTTTCTGGGTGTTAACCAGATAAGCTTTAAGATTTATGATAGGACTTGGGAGTCTTCATTGCATAAAAATGAGTCTCCTTCAGTGCTTCGGGCAGTACCTGAAGAATTTGGTTCACATATAGAAAGAAAAAGGTATCTCTATCTTACAGAAGATGAGTTTAGGGGACAGATGTATGGATTCCTCCGGGCTGGATCCTTTGGCCTTTTGTGGATCTGCACTGATTTAAACCAGCACAGGGTTTAAAGTGCGTTTTCCAGATGTGCCTGCCAATTTGATAGTGGAGATAACTGACTAGGGGTGAAAGCCTGCTGGAGAAGGCTGGGAATCTTAAGGAGAGAGAAAAAGAGAGAAAATAACACTATGTAAACAGACTGCTGAAAGCTGTGTTAGAAACTGCTGAAAGCTGTGTTAGAATTCCTGCAGTCAGCTGGGGAGAGAGATAAAGCTGTGCTGGTTATCTAAATTCTGCTTTTTCCTAATCCTCAAATATTTCCTTTTCAAACCCTGAAGTTGTTGTCGAGTGTGGCTGGAGATGACTTCAATGCCACCTCCACCTTGATCTAAGCTACAGGAAATAGTGAAAAAGCCTCACAGGTGAGGTAGGGGAATATTCCCAAAATAGCAGAACACAAATGCACCCTATGCATGCAGCCACACTGGGAAAGAAATCTTAGCAAGCCTGTTGTAGCATGGTGATCTCTGAGGAATGGAGCCAACCCTTCTGTGGCTGAGGGGTAACATTAGTTTAGCATCTCATACTTGTTTTTTTTTGTCTCCTACTCTTGTTTTTCTGACAATTATTTATTGCTTCTACTTCCTATTTGTTTCAGGAAGGGGAAAATATTTTCTATCTGGCTGTGGAAGATATTGAAACAGACACAGAACTTCTAATTGGGTACTTGGACAGTGACATGGAAGAAGAGGAGGAGGAAGAGGAGGAAGTAACAGTTATCCAGGAAGATGAAGACAGTGGCAACAATAAAGAAGTGCAACCAGCTGCTGAAAAGATTGCAGGTGAGCAATATGTAAAATGTAGGGTAACTTGAGAGCTTAAAAGTGGTAATGGAGAATGAGAACACTAACTGTATAGGACTGGGGAACTGGAAGGTCCCCAGGGTTTAGTCTGAGTTCTTGCGTTATTTTTATCTCTTTATTTGGGTTTGAGTTGAGCTTCTTTGCCTTATAAGGAGCAGCCAGTCTTGTGAATTACTGAGTGAATGAGTGAGCCTGGATTTCTTAAATGGTAACCCTTAATTTTTGAACTAAAGACTGAGTTTGTTTCACCTGACACACAGGCTTACAAATACTTAGCTTTTGCTCTGAGAGGGATAGTTTCCTTCTTACTTAGATGGGAGAGGATTAAAACTTCCCATAAAGCTATTCAGCCAATCCTAAAGTAAGATGTCTAGGAAAAGGAGGGCGAGCTGAGCTGTCTGGGGAATTCTCAGCATCTTTGTCAAAGATACAGATCAATTTATGGAAGACTAATTGCACTGGGGTTCTAATTGAGTTGAATGACTAATTTGGGCCAGCAGTCCACACCCATGTTAAAACTTCCCATCCATTTTCAGTAATGTAATCCACTTAAAATAGGCTGCCTATAATCCCTTCAGAGATCTTGTCTTTTGTGAGTTTCATGCCACCATTTTGCATAATCTGTTTCTGGCAGAGAGTCTCTCTCTTCATGTAACCAAAAAACCTGGGGCCTACTCCTTTACATCGGTTTTGCTTCCAATCATGCAGATCCTCTCACCTGTAAACAGGACCATGCATGCCCAAACTGTGAGTCCAGTTTTGCCAGCCAGGAGATTCTAGCTGAGCACCTGCAGACTTTGCACCAAAAACCCAGTGAGGAAAAGGAATTTAAGTGCCGAAATTGTGGAAAGAAATTCCCTGTTAAACAAGCTCTACAAAGACAGTGAGTAGAAACAGGAGTGTTTTTTCAGGGATCATTTAAATCACATTCATTCAATCCTTTATTTCTCTTGACCTAATCACAAACTAAGGTTTAGTTTTTATGCATCTGTATTTTTGCCCTTACCCTTTGCTTTAATCTTTTAATGTCCTAATTTCTCATATTTGTTGTAGAATTCAATGGGAATTGCAGAATTACTGACAATTTTTTATGTGTTAAATTCATACTCTGGAGACCAGACGAGAGCAGCAGTTTGGTGCAGAATTACTGGTCTCCATCAGTGGGACATTTAGTAGTTTAGGAGGTGTAATTTTCAAGCTGTGGATGCTGGTACAGAATTAAAATAAGATTTAAGGGGGGAAAAAGAGGAAAACCAGTGCTTCATGTTTGCTTAATTAAATATTTGGGTGATGAAAAACAAAATAGAAACGTGAAAGATGTGAGATTTAAGAACATGTCTTTGGTGTCCTTGAGAATGTAAATATGCAGTTTTGTAGTTAAAATCATATATCTTAGAATTATGCTTCTGCACAGAAACATAACTGGTTTTCTTCTGTTGTTTACTATGTATTTTCTTACAATTGGATAGATGTATTACTTTTTATTATAATTTAATTACAGATTGTTAGCCTATTTTTTGTAAAGCTATATATGTTTATAGCTAGTGCAAGCCTGTGTAAGTTGTAGAATGTTGCCCTTACTTAATTTTATTGCTTTATTTGTCTCTTAGTGTCCTGCAGTGCACAGAGAATATCAGCCCAGGAGACTCCTCAAGAAGTTTCCAGTGCTCTGTTTGCAATAGTGCCTTCAGCTCGGAATCGAGGTTTTGTGTCCGAGTTACAGGACTGCTGTCATGTCCTTGCTGGCCTTCCTTTGCATGTTAGCTTTCCAAAAGCTTGGTAGTGTTTGGGAACCCTAACAGGGCAAGGACTCAAATGCTTTCAATTCCTCTCTGCTGTAAGTAATGCATGAGGTGGCCTTGGAACTCTGCACTGCAGCATGTGTTCAGCTCTGAGTACTTGCTACAGCTCTGGTTTCTGGAGAGCACTGCCTGATGTGGGTTTTTGTTTTCTGTCTTTGCTGTCCCGTGTAGTTATGAGCAGCACAAGGAGGCGTGCAGAGGGGATGCCAGGTTCATATGCAAGGCAGATAGCTGCGGGAAGAGGTTCAAGAGCAAGGATGCCCTGAAAAAGCACAAAGAAAATGTTCACAGTGGTAAGAAAGAATTTAATGTTTCTTCAGGAAAAAAAAAACAAACCCAATATGATATGCTCCTAGCCATAAATTTGCAAATCAGAGTAAACATTGTCTTTGGTTTCTTTTTTGATGGATTCATTTGTATCAAATAGAAAATTAAGAAGTAACTTAATTGCAAGAGTTACTATTCCTCCCCCCCCAAGGAGAAATTACTGTAGGCCACCTGAATCGTTAATCTCCTGCAGAAAATGTAATAGGAATCTTGAGAAGTTTAAACTAGGCAAAGAGTAGATGAAGCAAAATGTTTCAGTAGTGAGGAAAATCTACTGCTGGTGGCACAAACTGCTACAGGAAATGAGGAGTTCTTGATTTTTTGGTATTTCCAGGACACAATAGGATGTCTTTTCTTTGCCTAATCAAACAATTAAGCTTGATGAGGATTGCATAAAATCCTATAGCATCTCTTATGCAGGAAGCCAGACCAGGCTATCCACTGGTCCTCTTAGGCCCCAATGTTTTCATATCTGTGTGCTGTGAATAATTTCCCCTGAAACTTCACTCTCTTCTCATGAAAAGGCAAAATAGCGCTCTCAGGTCCACAACACAGATCTCAGTTCTGGCATTCTGCACTCTCTCTGTATTTTCCCTCTCTGTGTCAAAGGAATATCGTCATGTGTGGGGGCAGCAGAATTCCAGAGCGCACAGAAAACAGTCTTCAGTTGATGCTGACAGCACTGAGATGATTTTTAGGATTTTCAGTCTCTAAACTCTTGCAGCATAGCGAAATCTTTCTGTAATCATTCTTAAAAGAGATTATCTCCTTTTTTTGGTATCAGCAATATATTTTTTCGTCCATGATCACTGTTATGTTTAGGCTTAGCTTTTGTCAGTTATGTAGTGGGATATGAATTCCACACAGAAGGACTAAGTGTATTCCTGTGTTGTGTCTATTTGTGTATATAAATACTTGTGTTAAGTTTTATAAATTTTTACTTTTTACTTTATAAGTTTTTACTTTTATAATGTTCTGCTGTAGTATGGATGTGTTTTACTTAAGCTAGGAACTATCCTGCATGGGCATTTTAAATTATAAACAAAGAATTGGGTTTATGGTGGCTTTGTGGGGTATTAAAATGAGTCTCTAAAGGTAAGTAATAGATAAACTCAATTAAGTGTTCTGTGATTTTTTTAAAGCAGCTGTGAAAAGGGGAGGAAAATGTCTGGTAACTGACCTCTAGCTTGTTTTGTAGTTTGCATTTTAGACAAGAATTGAATTCATGATCTGGTGCTAATACGATTTCCCTGTTTTGTTCCATTAAAGACCATTAATGATATTTTATATAGTAGGACACTTAATGCTTTCTAAATAAACAAAATTGGTAAATAGTTTTGACTTAAGTGTGAGGTATTTTTTGGTCACTGCTGCTCTAACTCCTGTATTGATTTCTGGATGAAATGAACTGTTCAATTGCCAGGCAAGCTGCTCTCAGTTGTGAATTGTGCTCTTCATGTGGGATTGGTGCTGTATGATAACATCTATTTGAAAGGTTTTTTTCTTTATTGTTCTGGTTTTCTTAATTTACATTCCACCAGTGACTGGTTTGTTGGACACCCACAGAGAACTCCTGATACAGAGCACTTTGAAGATGGGATACAAATGTGAAAATCTTATGTCAGTCAAGTGACCTGTGAAAAGTCACAGGCTCAGTGGAAATATTTAGGTTCTTTCTTAGCACTTCCTCTTTAAGATGTTGGTGGTATTTTGTTTCTGTTTCAGGAAATTCTAGGAAGAAGCTGATGTGTTCAGTGTGCAATAAGAAATGTTCCTCAGCAGCAAATCTCCAGGAGCATCGAAAGGTCAGTGAGATGAAGGCAGACTCACAGCAGGCACTGACTTCCCTGAGATGTGAGGCTGTGCTGCTCACGTCACTTGAGAGCTGCTGTAATGCAAGCCTTTGGGTGATCTCTTTCATGGTTGCAAAGCCAACCTGGTTTCGTGTGGATATTTATTTTTGTAGTCACACTTGCTCAAGCCAAATATCTCCCTGAAGTTTTCATGCCTCTCTCACCAAATGCTGATATGTTTGTGCACTCCAGCGTTAAGTCAGAGTTGCTGTTCCTCAGCATTCTTAAACACTAAGTGTGTTATGTAATCATAGCATACATACAGACTATAAAATAGCTTCATCAGCCTTCAACTCTTGTACAAAGCACAGTGGTTTTCTTAGTGCTTTTTGAAATACCACTTAGGAGAGTTACTTCTATTGTAGTTATGCAGTAGTAAAAGAATTCTCCCTCAAACCCAGATTTTTAATGTTTTTTGTTTATGCACATAATCTTTTATAACCAGAACAGGAGGGGTTAACAGTTGGAAAAGCATCCTTTGGAAATAAGGGTGTTCATGTAGAAATACAGATGGACTCTGAATATGAGATTCTGAATCCATTATACCCAAAGGAAGTCCCTGCAAGATTAATTTGATAAATCACTAAAACCCAGGAGAATCTGTTTTTGCAAAAAGCTGCATTGTACTGTTTATCAGATTAACTGTAAGTCTTTAATAATGCCCTGGTTATAACCTGAATTCATTGAGGATATAAATGATATCAATTAAAATATGTTGTTGCAAAGGAAATGGTGGGGCCCCTCCTTTTTAATTTGTTTTTCTCCTTGCTTGTGTTAGTATGCCCCACACTTCTTGTCTAATGAGGCTATATTTTGTTATCATGGTGTGCCTTGCCATGTGTTATTACAAGTTTTATACATTGGCACAGGTTTTGCACGTCAGGCCTTTCAAATGCAAAATATCCTGGTTAGTTTGTCCATTTTATTAAATGTTTGTTCTGTTTCAGTAGTTGTAATTCTGGACACATTGTGACACACAAGTTTCTCAAATATGATTGATTGTGTCAGTTGAGCACTTACCTTAGGAATCACCATGGAGATTTTGTGCATAAAACTTTATTTGCTTTTCTTGTTTGGCTTTTCTTTTAAAACATCCAGAAAACGGATATTCCAGATTTTTGCACTTATATCAGATAGTGAGAGATTACACATAGTAGTACTCACACTGTTTGCTTGAATTAATTTCCTTTTGTAGGTAGTGGGGCAGGATCATCAGCATTGCGAAGAACATTTGTACAGACAATAAAACCAGTGAGAAAATAATAGGTAAAACCAGGAGAAAAAGACAGATTTGTTGCCTCCACCCATTCCCATGTAAAGAAATTAAAAGTAGAGAATAAGAAGGTAAAATATAACAGAAAACAAGCCCAAGTAACAGAAAGAGAAAAGTCTTGATAAACACAGAAAGGAGGTAAAGAGGGTGGCTGTAGGGGGTTGATACATTTTCACTTTCTGAAGGCATGATTATTCACATCTGTAGCTTTCATGTCAGATTTAAACTCATTTTTAGCTTTGTGTGTCTTGTGCACTGCTTTTGCCTTAGCTGAGTAACTGTGTTCTGGTACTGATTTCTGAAGTTTGAGTAAAATGCAAAGTTCAATCACTCAACAATGATAATAAGGAGGAGGAAAGTTAATCTTTATAACTTTATAATCTTTATATAATAATAAGGAGGAGGAAAGGGGACTGTTAATCTTCACTGATGCAGATTCCTGCTAAATGTCTCCTTTCAGTATAAGGATCTCATGTTTTGGATTTGAATTGTTCACAGGAACTCAAAGTGAGCAGGTACATGTGAGTTGCAAAGGCTGCCAAGCCTCTCTACTGATGCTCCACTGTTCTGTAGTGGAAAAGGAAGAAACATTCAAACATCTTGGGATTGCTGGTTTCTTTTCCAAGTCAGAGTTGATAGTGCTGCACTTCCAGTGCTTGTCTCTGTCTTAGTGGATGTACAGATGTGGGCTGAGCTTCTGACTCACTGTAGGCAGGTGTTTTCCTGGTAAAGCAGCTCATTCTTCTTTTGACAAAGAAGATAAAGGACACCTTAGAGTGTAGGGCAGTCAGGTTTGGTCAGAGTTTGAGAGTGTGTATGAGGAGCTGTTGGGTATTTCTGAAGGTTTTAAACTTCGTAGAGCTGGACAAAGCTCTTTTTGTTCCTGGCAAAATTGGTGTGAGTAGAGTCACACTTAAAAATCCTCTCTGCTTCCCAACCCCTGACCCCTTTTTTTTTACCTGCCATTTCCAAGCATCTCTTTTTGGTTAATTTCTGACCTTTTTGTTTAACACTGAACCGTGTTTTGTTCTACTGGGCAATCTTTGCCAAAAGTTGCTCTCAACTGCCTCCTGTTTTTCCAGCATTTACTCCTAAATGCTGTCATGTGCTGTGATGTTGAAAATACTGCATTTGTAGTGTGAGACAATGCAGCCCCTCCACTGTCTGGCCTCTAAAAGCTTTTAAGAGAAACAGTCCTGCAAGAGTGTGATAGTACTTGTTTTTTAAAATTCTGACAGTTGCTATGAAGTGATTTCTGTGTTATTCTTACACGTGTCTTGACTAGAAGAAGAAATCCTGACAAGTTAGTCTCCATTTGGTTTTTTAATGCTTTCCTAATAATGATATTTTAAATGGATGTGCTAGTTAGAAACACAGGTTATGTAAACTTGCAGTATAGCTGTAATGATTATTTTTTTTTGGCAGTAATGAATTTTTACATTTTGGGAGATGATGTTTTTCACCAAGAGACAAGCAAGGGGGAAATCACAGAATATTCTTGAGTTTTATTATAGCTACTGGCTAAATAAGTACATTCTGTTAGAGAATTTCTAACAGAAAGGTATGGTCTTGTTTTAGACACACATTTAATTACCATGAAACATTTTGCAGGTCCATGAGATCTTTGAGTGTCAAGAATGTGACAAGAAATTCATTTCGGCAAACCAGCTGAAACGCCATATGATAACTCATTCAGGTAATGTACACAAATGACAATGTGTGTGCATATGTATTTCATGAAGGTGGAGTTTCACCTGAATTTGTTTCTTATGGAAGGCTCAATGAAATCTGTGTTGTCCTGAGCTGGGCAAGCCAATCTCAGGTTCCAAGGAAACTGTCTTAAGCCAGCTTTTTTCCAAGCCTTCCAAAATTGTAAGTGAGCTGGTGTAGCCTTCTTCCTGCTGCTGCTTTGTCTTTTTGTGTTTTGTGGTGCTAGCTGGGGTAGAGGAGGTCAGTGAGCTGGGGTGGGGCAAAAGGTTGCTACATAGCTTAGAGAGGAGGTAAAAAACCAGTGCCTAAGGTTTTATGCTGAGAAGAAGAGGCTGGGAGGTGGGTGTGCTGTGTGTCAGTGATCAGTGCTACACTGTTTATCTGTGTTTTTGGGCTCTTAGCTTCTGGTCGGGGGAGAGTAGCTCATGGGCCACCCTATCCACAGAAGTTCCCTTGTGCCAGCACGAGGCCACTGTGAGCAGGGAGTGTCCCATTTTAGGTTTGGCAGTATGGCACGAGTTGGCTCTGCCAGGATTTCTGGTCACTGCAAATATCCAGCGTTTTCTGTGTCCCTCACCAGTGCTTAGAAACATCAAGCAACACAATGGAAACACAAACATTGTTCTGTCAAATGCATTAGCATTTAAACAAATGCAGGTTTTTACAGCTGCACAGGCTTAGAGTTGAACTATTTTCTTGGTATCAGTCCACAGCAAAAGCTCGTTTCTTGTAACATAATCTGTATCTCAGAGGCTCCTGGCTTTCTTTTGACACTTTTGGATGAGCATTAGTGCAGTTAAGTTGCAGTCACCAGTTAAAGGCTTTTTGCATAGCAACTTTTGCGTTTGGAAGCTAATATGTATATTGTTAATTAAGTTTTAAAACATTTAAACTGTCATGGCCCCTTTCACATTTGTAATCTGGAAACACGGTTTTCCTCTTTGAAGTCATTCTCTTTTGATTTAAGCTAATTAATCAGAGTTTAGTTTTAGCAATGAGTATTGCAAAGAATGTGCCAATTTCTTGAGAAACACCATGGCTCATCTTTTGTGAAGTGACTTAACTGTCTAACATAAAGGGCATTAGGTGTCTTGCTAATTGGTTTAATCTTAATTGGGTTGACTTAATTGCAGAAATCTCTCTGAGGAGATGACTGTCTCTGCCTTTCATCTTCTCCCCCTGTATAAACAGGAGATTAAATGTCCCCCACTCATTTTCTGCAGAAAAACGCCCCTACACCTGCGAGGTTTGCAATAAGTCCTTCAAACGACTTGATCAAGTGACTGCACACAAAATAATACACAGTGAAGATAAACCTTATAAATGCAAGCTTTGTGGAAAGGGATTTGCTCACAGAAATGTTTACAAGAATCACAAGAAGGTAAAGCACTCTGCTGTTGTTGTTTACAGGTCTGCCAGCCTCAGATTTGCAGATTTTTTATTTTTTTTTTCTTTTAAGTGGTTCATCGTTAAGCTCTGCCATGCTTATAAACATGGGATTAAAGTATTGGAGAATGTAGTTGTAGTGTTCTTTGTTATATCCAAAATCTCAAAAGGCTCAATCAATTCTAGTAAACAAAAAAAGTTAAATAAGCAGAAGTGAAGCACAGTTGCTTGGTTAAAAGCATCAGATAAATCCCATTTTAACTTTTTTGTACTGTTTTTATTTTTTGCTTTCTTTTCTTTTTGTGGTTTTTGGGGTTTTTTTTGAAGTACTAGGTTACCCAGTTAATGTTACTGATTTAAAGATGTCTTCAGATACATTTTTTTTAATAGTGTATTTGAATAAAACCATGTGTAGTCCTCTTGCAGTCATTGTTGGACTTAGCAGCAGATGCTTTCAAACTGCACTAAATTTGAACTCAGTGCAGTGTTCACATATTAAAACAACACCAGAAGAAAAGCTACCTGAAAAATAGACTCACAAAAAAGGGCTGTTCTGCCTGTGGTGATTGAAGCTCAAATCAGCTTGGCCTAATTTCTGTAATGCCTGTCATTAGTTTTAACCTGGGCTTACATTTCTAACAGCAAGGGTCTATCCAGGACTGCTGTTTCAGAATTACAAGACTATAGGAAGGAAAAAAAAAAAAAGAATAAAAACCTCCAACCCTGATACAGCCATAACTCCAAGTTTTTCGCGGTGTGGCTCGTGTTATATTCCATCTGGGAATTTGGCACAGGATCTTTGCACCATCTCTTGCACTTGTAGCCATAAATCATGTAAGAGCAATAATAATACCTCTTACAGGATGAAATGGTGATGACTGTCTCAAGCAAGAAAGAGTGCAGCAGCCTGCTGAAGGACAAGATTAGCTCCCATGCATTATGTCTGATGTTCTAGACTTTAAGAAAATGGGACAGAACCTTGCAGATTGGATATATTCTGAGGAAAATGGATAAAATATAATCTAAAATGATAGCTCTACATTTTAAATGAATACTTTTTACATGTTTCCTGATGTTAGCTTGCTGTTGATGACTGGTGGGGAGTTTGGGTTGAAAGTGGACTTGAGGATTAAGTATGAAGGAGTAAACACTTTGACCCAGTTCCCTATTTAAAGCAGCAGCACTACCAGCAGAAGCAAGGGTTAGAAGCTTTACTGAATGGGGAGAATATTAAAATTTAGACAGCTTTAGTGGGGACCAAATTTTAACCGAATTCCTTAAAGTATGCTGGAATTCTGCTTTCCTGGACCTGTTTGCACCTAGTACTGGCTGTAAATCAACTCTGCTCTATATTGAGAGAAACTTGTTCCTGTGCTTGCATAAAGATTACCCAAACAGCTGTGACTGTTCACCCATCCACATGTAGGTCTCTAAATACTGTACCATACAATTCAAGGATGTGGTGGTTTGGGAGGCCAAAATAGTTTTGAGTACCATGATTTTGGGAAGGCTATTTCTAGAGAATGAGGACAGCAGTTCTCTTGCTTGTTCACAGGAATGCTGATCCAGGAGCAGTGTAAATGTAAAACTTTATTGTGTTTGATAATTTATTTCTATGTATTTCTTCAGCTTGGGTTTTTAGTGGTTTTTAGATGTGTGTTTCCTGTAAGATGTCTTCCTAGGTTTATTTTCTTTTGGAGGAAGAGAATTGAATTCTGAAAATTTCAGGGTGCTTTTCTGAGCTTCAGGATTAGGCTACTGGGCTAGTAGCAGGAGCATAGGTAGCTGCAGTAGGAGTGATGGGCATAAGAGTTAAAAACACTTAAATCAACAGCATTTAACAGAAAATGCACCTGTAAGTTTGATAGCAGCATGCTTAAAAAACCTTTGGATTTTACAGGAGGTTTACAGCCTTTTTATATATCAAGAGAGTACAGATATATTTTGTTCCTCTGAATTCTTGATTTGTGTTTCAGATGGAAACTTGTTGCTGTTGTTTCTGTAATTCCTGTGGGGGTTTCTTCTAACCTGATTTCATGCTGGAAGTCTCAGAATAAAAATGTCTCCCACAACGTGTGTTTTTAAACATCTGTGGGTGTCTGTTGGGTCATTTCAAAAGTGCAGAAGGAGAGTAGTTCCTTACATTTCACAGGATTTCACTGGGAGGTACAGTGGAGTTGCCAAGAGCCTATCTGCTCTGTTCAGTGGAGCACTGGGATGTGACCCTTAACTTAGCACTTGTTACACTCTTAGAGCTGCACATCTGAGGCACGAACTGCGGTACCTCTGTGTTCTGCTGCTCCCGCCAACAGGTGCTGCGCTGCTCTGCATAGGAGCAGGTGCAAGCTGGCTTTGCCCCTCGCTTGGAGGCTGTAGGAGTTCTGAGATATGGAACCAGCTCAGATGTCCTGTGTGAGAGCTTAGGCTGTGACTTAAATGAACATATGAATAAAGTTCCATTTCTGTGACAAGGCAAGAGAGCAGAACCTGAAATGAAGAGGCAAAAAAGGGATTTTGCTACAGATAAAAGTAGTCACCTTTCATGCAGGTTAGGCTGGATGAGGGTGCATGTTCCGAGCCTCATAATGCAGATTACCTCCGTACAAGAGATGTTTTTGCTCCATCTGCTCCTTTGTTGCTATGTACAGAGGATGAGTTCAGAGAACAAAATATGAGGATATGACAGTCAACAGAAATAGGTCATCAGACGCAGGATTTTAAAGGGTTTATGGCTAATCCTGGGTTGTTTGGTCCTGGGGAGCATAATGATTTGAAACAACTGTATTCCATCAGTTTATCTGTTGGGAATAAGTAGCCTTGGGCTGGGCTTAAGCCTCCACAGATGCTGTAGTAGGAAAAGCTGCCATGAAATGCTCCAGAAGAGCACATCCTCAGTTGCTGGGATGATCTGTGTGCCCTTGCATGTGGGTATGCCTAGTTAGGTGATTTTATTTGTAGGGAAGTTAAGATGTGCAGATTAATCTGTGTGTTTTGATCAAAAGATGAGGAGAGTATAAAGGAGATGCTAAGAAGGAGTTCTGTACGAGTCACTGTGCTCTTCAGAACTTGTCACCCACGTGGTGAGTGTTCCAAACCAGGGCATTTTTTGAATAAGCAGCATGAATTTTTGCGCTCGTGAAAGGTGCCAGATTGACAGCTCTGGAGACTGAACCCTTCTATTTATCCACAGAACAGGTACAGCACAGGCAGCAGCACTGCGAGCTTCCCCACAGTGTCTCGTCAATGTGTCCCAACCCTGTTCTGGAGGAATCCCCTGTTGAGGTGAGAAGGCAGTTCAGTCTCTTCACGTCCTGTCAATCCTTGGCCTCACTGCCAGGGGGGGCTGAGCAGGGTGCCAGCTGTGATGGGAACCTGTAGAGTCTGGACTGGAACTCGCAGCAGATTTCAAGGAATGTGAGATTTATTCCACACCTGTGATGGTCTTCCAGCAGCCTTTTTTTGCTTTCAGTGACTTAGGCTGAGGTCAAGGAATTGGTTTTGAACCTGAGGCCTCCTCATACCATTGCAGGACACTCAGGTTTTGGTGCTGTGTGTATGTGAGAGGACATTGGTGTTAAAATCAAACTGGGTTCAAGGCCCTCAGCCAGCCTCTCAAGAGTTATGCTGTCTCCCCACAGCCCCCTTTATTCCCACAGTTGAAGGAATAGATTATCAGTTGTGTGGATTCTGGACAGCAGAAATAGATTATATAAATATGTACTATGCTAATATTTGCCCTTAGTATGCCAAATTAACTCATTTACCTAATTTCCTGCACACTACAAAACACTTACTGTCCATCCCCTTTTCCTCTGGGCACTCCAGCTTGTAATAAGGTCCTTGTGAGCTAATAAAGTATTTGGATGCTGATACTTTAAAAAGCTGCCTTCCTTTGCTGAAACTGTAGGAAATTGGGCAGATAGTAAATTAATCAGTATAACTTACTATCTACAGTGGGACAGCTGTTAGAAACACTAGGAAACAGGGAAAGTGCTTTGGAATTTGTAGAAGTAAAATAAAGCTGGATGTTTCCCAAGCTTCAGAAAAGAAATTTACTTCAACAACTCTGCGGTCTGGGAGATTCATCCAAGCTTAGCCTTTTATTTTATTCATAGCTTTGAGGCTGTTTTTCAGCTACAATGAATTTTTCTAGAGCCAACAAAAATTTTGGTACTGTTGCTTCTGTGGCTTTGTTGTTTTGTTTTGTTTTGTTTTTTCCTGGTGTTTTTTTGTTGTTTGGTATTTTTTAAATAAAAGAAGCTATATATAAAAGTAGTCTCATGATTTGAGGAATTTTCTTCACCAAATTTTAGGTGCTGTCTTGAAAATCAGATTGGTTTTACCGTAAAACTTAACCAAAAAGAAAGGGGTTTGTGTGCAATCAACTTTAAGGGATTTATTAATATTAATAAGTATTCCAGGCCAGTATTAGTGCAGCTGAAGCTGCTAAAGCAATGCAGCTGAGCTTGTAGTTTTTTTCCTCTGGTTATTCTGTGTTTTTGTTTCTGTTTATGTGCACACCTCATGTGACACTTGAGAGGATGGGGAAGGCACAGTTCCTGAGTAGTTGTTGTGCTGGTTTTCAGGATCCTGAGTAATGGCAGAATGTTTATTTTAATTCTTCATCTCCCGGTGCTTCCAATTGTCATCTCCCCTCCTGAGTCTGGAAAATTCACTGTAGTTACTGCAGTGACAACTGATGGATTTCCAGGAGCCTTTCCTCTGACACGTTGTCTTTCATGCACAGACCCATTCTGAAGAGAGACCGTTCCAGTGTGAGGAATGCAAAGCCTTGTTCCGAACCCCCTTCTCTCTACAAAGACATCTGTTAATCCACAACAGTAAGTGCAAAGTCAGAGGAAAAACAGCATATTCTCCATTCTCATATGTGACTGAGAAAAGCAAACATGGGGTACCTTGCTCCAGTATGCAACTTGCTGTGTTAAACTGGTACTAAGATTCACCTCTGTACCCAGGGAGTTAAAAAATGCAGAGCCAAATTGAAACCTTGCCTTCAGATACACTTAAATGCAAATTCAAATATGCTGCAGAAAATCCAGCAGAATTGAGGTCTGATGGCAAGAAATTTATTTCTGCATTAAGTGTGATAGTGTTACCTCCATTTCAAGAAAGTATAAATGGAAACAGGGATAAGTTGGTGACTTGCTCAGCTTTTGTAGGTGATCTGGTTTAGAGCTTGACACTGAGATTGTCTCTCCTGTGCCAGCCCAGGCTCATGTTTGCTGCCTCTGGCATAGAACTGGAGCTGCTCAGAGAAATGCTGTGGCCATTTTCCCTCATGATTAACTTTTCTTGGCATTCTGTCCTTCATTTTTAGTTGACAGTGTTGGGATTTATTTTTGGTGGAATTTTCTCTATCTTTAATACTTGCAGAGCCCTAGACTGTCATTCAACCCTCTGAATATCAACAGTTTAGGTTTTAGAAAATGCTCATGAGCTAAAATCCCTGTAGCTTAGAATACAGTGTTTTGTTTTGGGGAATATTCACACTGGCATAACTAAGAAAACCACAAATCTTTCCTTGTATAATTCTGCATGACTATGTTTCTGTTAGATGAATTATTGGATTGGTAATGTTCCATTTGCTCTTTTACAATTATCTTTCAAAGCTTCTGCAATTTTTTAAAGCATTGGCTGTCATACATTTTTTTCACAACATTAAAAATGATGGGGGAAAATGTTAAAAACCTGTTCAGTAATTTCAGTATTCTAATGAACGAACATTTACAGAATATCCAAAATGTGTAATTCAGTGTACAGGATTGTTGGTTTTCCTGATGGTTTCTCTAAAAACATACACTTTGACTTTTTCTTGAAGAGGATGGAAGCTCACATGGCCTGTTTTTCTCTTTGTTAGGCGAGAGGACCTTCAAGTGTGATCACTGTGATGCCACTTTCAAAAGAAAGGACACATTAAATGTTCATA